ACCAAATCTGCTGCCAAATATCTTCATAAATTTGTTCATGAAGTTCCTCACGAATTAAAACATGTTCTAATTTCTGTGAATTTCTTCGTGATGTTCAGAAGTACCAACCCAACAAATCTTCAGCTTCAAATATGTTGCTTACAAAAACTAATATTTATAAACAGTGTCAAAACGGTACCGCTGTTGTATTATTACATATCTATATGTAGAAAGGTAAGACATTTTTTTAAATGAAATTTGATTTGCTACTTTGATTTGTTGGTAGAACTGATTTATGTGTCAAAGAAATTCAGGAAGTCTGTAGTAGTGTAAAACTAAACAATTTATGAATAAATTCTTGAATTAATTCATGAAGAACTTCGTGAATTTATTGATGAATAAATTGCCATTGTAAAACTGCTATAAGGGATATCAGCAATTTGAAGGTTTGACCACAAATACATACAAAGTTTCAGATGTTTTGTGAAAAAGTTAAATTACGCCAGAAACTGATTCACAACTGCTAGTTAACAACAATTCATTAGTTTCAAATCGGAACTACAGGAAGGTAAACAAGTTTCACTGCATTTTCTTATTTCATTGTTAAATCCTAGTTGTTCTAAATTCCAAAAGGTTCTCAAACTGAAAAATCTGCAAGAAATATCAAGGAAACAATATAATTTTTAACGTTACTGATATCAAATGAGATTTCAGTAATCACAGTTTATTTATCTAAGATTTAACAGCAGCAGGAAAAAACAAGACCTCATAGAAGTATTGATTTAAAATCAATGGATTTTAGTTAATTGCTACTTGTTATTGTTATATCTCATGAAATGAAATAATTTTTTTGCAGAATAATTCAATTGTCATATTTATTACCAACTCGAATATTCTGAAATATCTTTTACTGATCCTTTCTCGTGACTCAATCCTTCCTGTGCAAAAGAGAACAGCTTTTATCTTTACTTGGAAAATTATTTAGAACATTTTCCATAATTTTTATGTTATAATTCAGGTTTTAATGGCCTATACATATTTCTTTAGTTAAACATACAATATTCTCTTCTGGTTTAGTAAATATTCTAAATTAAGTATTATATGAATAACTTAATAAGATTAACGAACATAAAATGGTAGATATTATATTAAGCACGAAACGTACCATATTAACAAATAGCCTTATTATCTATCCACTTATTTCAATTCTGCGACAATAATGTTGCATAATGGCTAATAATAGATAGGCGCAAGTTGATTTTATTTAAATTATGTATACTTGTGGATATAATTTACTAATTGCTGATCCAATTTCTCAGTACATTATTAATATTCAAGGCTCGATAAACCTGAAATGCAATTGCAGTAGAATTAAGGCGACATTACCATAATATGTAGCGAACTGAAAAGTAGAGGAATGACAAAGAGAAAAATCATGTAAGATATTTCTCTTGTTAATAACAAAAACGTCACTATTCTAAAAGGTGACGGGTATCTTTTGTTTGTAACGTTTTAAAATGCAATGATTAAATGTATTTTGTGCTTAATTGAATTATAAAAATATTGACAATAATAAATTAATGTCGATGGCAATTATCTAAAGTTGAACAAAAGACAGTGTAACAACTACATTGTTCATATCTCTAAGAATTAGCAGTATATTTTAAGTAAACCTAACATATTTTCCTACTGTATAGGTGCAGAACATGATTTTAAGCAGAAAGTCCATATGATATGGGGCGTACACATTACGTCATATTTCGAAACAAATTTATAACAAAATAGTCCCATAATTATTTTGTAGAACAGCTAGAGTTATTTTGGATTAGACTAGAATTATTTTAGATTTATTCAATAGACTCTTTCAGTGTGACGTCACATATTTAGGCAACCCTCAACAAATTGTCATAGCTGAAATTGTACAGACCGAATCTGACCCTTGTGTACTATTTACATAGATATTATAAAAATGAAGAACTTCAAATTAATTTATTTTTCTCTTGTTTTGTTTAATTTTGTATTTTCTAGTTCTACTAAGTATTTTTATTGTTTTTCTTGGTGTTGTGCTGTGTCAGTGTGTTTATCGAGTGTTTTTTTTTTCAAGTGGTTTATTATAGACGTACTCTTAACCATAACCCAACTTTTCTTGAATGAGGTTACTTCGCGTACATGTAATTATCTTTAATGCGCATGCTCAGTAACATTGATATAATTTTAATTTATTAATTAGTATAAACGTCAATATTGTTATATAAATTTAAATATATAAATTCTATAATTCTTCTAGTTTGTCACTTGGGGTCTGAAACTTCTTAAATATTTCTAATATTTCCAGAATATCCCAATATTTAGTTATGTTATGACGAAGAAGACATTTTTTTGTACCTACGTAAAGTCGAAAATCGATCTAGTAAAAATACTGAGAAATTCTTCATGAGAATGTGTACTATGGGGGTTGCCTATTATTTGGTGTATGTGACGTTACTACTAAAAAAGTCTATTGTGTGTTAAAGCGTTTTTAGAAAATATTGTTTTTTTCTTTATATTAGAAATACCACTGATTTAATTTTCAAAATATTAACTGGCACTCAAATTTTGCGGTTTCAGTGGTACTGACTTCCTCGAATCTCTGCTACTGGTAAGTAAAATTTATTGAATTTTTACTTCTCAGATAAGGTTCAGGAAATGTAACATATTTGTCGGAATTGAAGCATTCTACTTTGGTTGGTATGAAGCTTTTTGTTTAAAATAATTTATTTTATTACCTGGTATCCCGATAGAAACTTATTAGCATGGTAATAAAATTTAACTTCCATTACATACAGTAATTGTCAAAGATACCAATTTGCCACTACTTTTACAATTAAAATTATGTTTTAACGGAGTCATATAACCTGTTATTTTGTTAATGGGTGCCTTGTAACACATACCAGAAAATTGCACTTAGTTTAATGTACGAAAGATGTTGTTTACATACAACAATAGTATTTCAAATGATATCTTGTATAAACATCTTAATAATAATGTTTAAAGGGGTGGCAATCTGTAATTACTTCTGGAAAATTTCTGGAAAACGTACCTTGACAGAAGTTAATACACAAATTAAAACTTATCAAAGTGAAGTCCTTGTACATTATAAAGTAAACCACAGTTTACTAAAAATATAATATGTATTCATCAAATGAATCATGCAACTATTTCAAACCACAACAAAGATTGACAAAATTGACCCTGAATGTTAATATTCTATTATTTACGCAAGTTTACATAACGACTAATAAGTATTATCATAACATAGCCTTCTTGAATAGCCATTTTAAATTATATTCGTATATCTAAAGTCTATAAACTTGTTCGTGCATAAACAAGAAAATATGGTAATGCGTCATTTAGAAAAATCAGGAGTTTTATGTATCAGAAAATATACATTTTGTTTTATTAGTCCATTTCAACCGCAAATGGTTAAACAATTAAACGGAACTGAAAAATATTATTGTCACGACATATAACAAAGAAATATTTTCATGTATGTTATAGAACTATTAAAAATTTAAAAAAAAGACAAGGTAAAATGGAACAAGTGAATGTATGCTTATGTAATGTTACAAAAATGTACAGTATTATACAGTAACTACTGTTAGTAACTATGGTTGAAACTTCAGTGGCTGAAAAAGTCATATGTGAATAATTACAGTAAAATGTATTTCCTGAACAAAACGTCAAATAAAAATAAACTATTAGATAATAAATTTATTTTTACTACTTTTTCATCCACGCTTAAATTTCTACAAACAAGTTAAATACACAACTTACAATAGATAGTAAGGTACACTTGTAAATATTTAACATATGCTATTGAGAAAGTCATACTTGTAAAATTTATTTTGTTTTAATGTTAAATGCAATGCTATATAGGGTGTTTCCGAAACAATTGCGTTCCTGGAGAAGGGTGATAGAGGGCACAAATATGAGCAACTTTTATTAAGCAATTGATGATATAAATGCTTCTGTTTTCGAGAAAATTAATTAAGAACATTTACCAATGTAAGCCAACCCTGTGCATCTTGTGCACGTGTGTTGTGTGTTGCAGTATTACTTATCTGGCGTATAAAATTAACAGTATCGTGTGGCGTGCAATGGTTTCATGTACAAAGGGTTCAGGCATTAAATAACAATGAATTTCGGCCCCGTGTGTGCAAGTAATTTGTTTATTCGTTTACTTCTTGTGTTACTTTTAAACAAGATTTGAATAAATGTCAGCATTTTCAAATACAAAATTTACACCTTCAAAACCTCCATCAGCGCCTTCGCACTGCGCGCGGCAGCTTCGATATCAAAGGTACAGCTGGCTGAGACACCAGGAACTGCTTTAAATTTGTTCAAGCCTTCATGTGAAAAAATTTTTCTCAATTTTAAACGTGATGCTTTATGATGGCTTAATAAAAGTTGTTTATTTTCGTGTCCTTTATCACTCTCTTCAAGGAACACACTTATTTCAGAAACACTGTATATACAAAGGTGAGTCAGATTTAACTGAAGGCACTTTCGAAAATAGAGTTTTTAACAATGTCCTTCTCCTCTTCATCATCCAAATATCTTCGACATACATAAGGCATGGGCAATAGCTGTAATTTTTTATTTTAATTTAATAAAGTTAATAAAAAAAAGTTTATTACGAATGAAAATGGTGCCAGATTTTTGTATTCTGTCACAGTTTCCCTGATTTTTTATTTTTCGTTACAGCACAAGACAAGCTCCTGTTTGAATCAATTTTTTTCTCGTGAACAGCGGAAAAATAATGTATCACTCAACGCCTAGAAGATGGAGAATTTTTAGAAAAATGTTGATATAAAAAGAACCTTATTTGTCCCATGTTAAATCTGACTTACCCTGTATATCTATTGATTCAAATTTATAGTATTTATTAATTCCATTATCTCACTAACAAAAAAGACAACCAAAATTAAATACAACCTTTCAGGCTTGCTGTCCTGAAAGTAAAACATAAATCAATCACTGACCTGGAGATTTGTTGAGGCACTCAAACTACCCCCTGCGGGGTAAAGGGGAGCTGAATGTACGAACACCAACGCACTCAAAAAACACGCGAAACTTACGTAGCACTTCATATTGACTAGAGTAGGTTAAAATTTCTGAAACAATAAAGTACAATTTAAATTTATATAAGTTACTCGAGTAAATTCTTCAAATTCCAACTTTCCCTCTTTAAGCCATGCCATCCTTAGTTTAATTTCAGTCTACTACTATTAATATTAAGGACACTATTTAGACAGGAAGCTATTAGTAGTTGCAATAAGCGTTAGTAAAGCATTACCTAAAAGAAGAGTGAAATTTAAGTGTTATTGAAGAAAAATTGGAGGTCGTAGATGTAATACATGCTATTACCAACAAAAAAACTAATTTCATATTTGCGAAATGGGTTTTGATGAATTTCTTACGCTGGAATGAAGTAGCTTGGAGAATTTTTCCTTTAAAAGAAAGCAAATAAATGTAGTGAACATTCATCCTGTGGACAATTTAGTTTCAGCGTTAATCAGTGACTTTCTCATAAATAAATAACAATAATATTCTTTAAATTAAAGGTTTGCAAATTAATTTACGTAATAATTACAGAAAAGGGTATAAAAACTTAGTTATCTTTGCTAGATTTGTAAATATAAAATTTCACCACCTTTATCCATTTTTTTAACGACAATATTACAAATAAATTCAACCATATGTCATTGCTAAACAACAATGCTACATCAAATGTAATCATACTTATGCTTTACTTAGTTTGGATTAGTCCTCAGATGTTTGTAAATACCTACACATACACAAACATTAAATTTATTATATATTATTGTTTTCTTTGCAGTGTTACACTTTTCAAACTGTCAAACTGTAAATGTTTTCAATGAATGATGTTAGATTCACTAGCACAGTATTGTTTTAGCACATTATTTGAGGTGCGGTTTAACAAACACATTCGTGTTATATAACTAGCAGTCTGCAACTAAATAAAAACTTCAGCGCTTCGGTTGAAGTTTAAAATAATTTACCAAAGAGTAGGGAAGAAGTTCTCATTGAACCAAGGACCTAGACCTACAAACTGTCTATACGGAGCCAACGATATTTAGGATTGCAAAAATTTTAAGCTTAATACGCTCTAGGATCTATGTCATCTCGGTTTATATTTTACGTAACAGATATGGACTAGACAATAAATATTGTGTAATGTAAGCGCATTTGTTAAGTGACTGTAACAAATTTGTATTACATAATGTGTAATCGCTCGAAAAAATATTTTAATTAATACCTTTGGTGGGCAATGTGAAAGACTTAATCAATTTTTTTTGCGTAATTTGATCAGAAAATTTTTTAATAAAGAATTGTGCGTTTGTTACAGAAATAATTTTTATTGATAAGGGCAATTGGGCAATCTGATCTAAAAACACAGATTTAATAAGGGTCCATGTGTACATTTACTTTTTCTTAACAATTAATTCGAAACATCGATTTATATAAGATCTTGATATTATATAGAAGCATATAGGGTGTATTTTAAGTCCATGTCATAAAATAAAAATATTCTTTAGGTCGTTTTAGACTCAAAAACTTTAATAAAGTATGAGTCCAAAATTACTGGTTTTCAAGATAAAGAGCGTTATATTTTTTGAAAATTTTCACATTTTTTCCAACTATCTCTGACGTTGATTGATGTAGATTGACTATCAAAGAGAATAATTCTTTATATTTCTATATAAATCTGCCAACTTTTAATGAAGATTCGAGCTTTGTTATTAAAACCCTTAAAAAAACTACGCCACTAGGTTTTAAGAAAAAAAGAATAGGCGCATTTAATTATCATATTTCTAATAAAAAATGTATCTGCATTTTCATTCTAACGTGCAGTGTTTCTGCAATTTCAGCCTGCAAGTGTTTCTGTTAATTTTAAAATAAGCTAGATTAGTAAAATATTCCAAAATTACCTAACAGTAACAGTACAAGTTAACAATATCTTAATTATTAGAAAAAAACAAAAAAATTTGTTTGTAGAAGATACTAAAAATGTCCACCATTGGCACACATGCGATGAACCTTCGCCACAACCACTGTTGCATATACTCGTATTTTCAAAAATTTCTGTCATTTATCTGACTTGCTGACATCCGTTTATGATTTGATGTCTTAAATTGGCCTCGTTTTTTTTAACTGTTTCATAAAGATATATTTGGGATGGCCCGATAAAGAGAAATCACGTTGATTTAAGTCAGGAGATCAAAATGTCTAAGATAGGGTCCATTTCGTTCAATCCATCGGTTGACAAAATTTTCATTCAACCAGTTACTGGCAACTGTATTAAAATGAGCTGGTGCTCCGTCGTGCATAAACACCATTCTCTGTCTGACTGCATTTAGAACATCTTCCAGGAATTCATTCATCTGATTTTGTAATTGTCTATAAGTATCGCCATTACGTCTTAATGTTAGAAAAGCGGGATCAATTAAGAATTTACCCACAATGCCTACTCAGATATACTGAAAACTGCAATCATTTGTAAACAATACCTGCCTTAAAAAGTAAGGATTTTGGTTTAAAATGTTTTGCATCTTTCGGCATAATTCTATTCGGCGAGGAAAATCATCAGAAAGAAGTATTTGTAACGTAGGGATATAGTAGTCGATTTTCCAAATCAGTGTATTAATCACTTGAAGATCACGTGCAATTTTTCTTGAGCTAGTTTGGCGATTATTTTCAATCTCTACTAATATAGTCTCTCAGTTCTAGTAATGAGATGCTCTACTTTGGCTGACGTGAATACGACCTATTTTCTGAGACTCCAATGAATTTCACTAAACATGCGTCTGGAACTCTTCGATTTGGAAATGTTTCTTGATATAAATTTTATCTATATCCATTTACTTTACCATAAATAAAATGCATATCTGGTACATATAAGTTTAAATTCTTGAAAGTTACAATGGGAACAAAAAAAAATAAATGGAACTGCTAAACTGAGTAATTACTCAGGTAAATAAATTTATCTACTTATCAATTTAATATCACTCTTTTCAAATAACTAGAACAGTTCACTATTCAAAAACCGTGAAATATCAGAAATTTACTTAAAAATGAAATATTAGTAAAAAAATTAAATATTCTATGAGGAAAATCCAAGAAATCTTTTTTATTAAAAATATGACAGGGGCGTAGTTTTTCTGAGAGAAGGCTCCTCCCAATCTCCACTACTAGTTGAGAGGTTTATATAGAAATATACTGAAGTATTCCCGTTAATTAGTTACATTATTTTCCTATTTTTCGTCAATCTACTTTAAACAACTTCAGAGATAATTGAAATAATACGAAACTTCTTAACACACGACATCTTTCTCTATATTATTCCCAAGAACTACAACTTTCTGAGAACGTATTTTTATCTAATCAGTCACTCATAAAAGCAAACAGAATTTGAAAGTCACCAAACAATTAATAAAAACTGGATTCTGTACTTATCAGATACAAGATCCTTATGAATTATGAATATGAAAATGGTATAACACAGTTTTGTGATGCTGGTCAACTGGTATATTTTTTATATACAAAAATCCTTGACTTGAGGATCTAGTTTTGAAATAGATTATACCAGGTTTTGTGTAATTATTATATAATTTATATTTAACATATTTAGTAATAATGTCATTATGCTGTTCAAATTTTTCATGTTAAATTGACCCAGACTTACATTAGTGAGTTGAAAATTAGTTAATTTCATAGCTCACAGTTATTTTATGTATTGGAAATTACGTATTACGAAACACAAAAGATAAATAAGTGCAACATAGATATTAACATTAACATAAGAATCCGTTTATATAAACTCAAATATACATTTAAATGTAAAAAGTATATTTAAATGTGGTTGACATATTTTAGAATTATACACCTGGACTGTTATGTGACAATAATTTTGTATTATATTTAATTTACAATAATTTTTATATGAGTACTATAATACAGCAAATAAGTAGTATAACTGTAATTAGTTAGAATAAGTTAATATATTCAGAATAACTAATAGGCAAGTATTTTATACAGGCATTTCTAAGCTAAATTAAAAATATGTTATTTTAGATAAAATAAAAATAGGGAAAATTTAGTAAATTTTTATAAATAGTGGTAGATTTGCCTACTGAAAATATCAGTTTTTTCTAACATAATAATATATCTATTTAAACAATTTTGAGTAATTTTAATCTAAATAAATAAATGATGTGCTTATAAATATAGCTTATGCAAACTAACTGCAGTTAAACTATTACGTTGTTCTTTGGTTATATAAAAAATGTTTTTATTTATTTTGCAATTTGTTAATAAATTTGATGCCGAAATACTAATGCTAGAATTAGCTTAAGAAATAAACAAATTAATATTACGGGTCTGTATCTAATATAGAAATTATTTCAAAATTGCCCATAAATTTCACAAGTATGGTGATACATAATTAGTTTATTATAACATATCAGTAGGATTATTTTTTCCCTCATTTACTTTTTCGGATAGATCTCAAACTCTTATGTAATAAAGATATCTCAAAAATGAATATCATAAAATCGAAATTAAAATAATAAATTATATAAAATGTAAATTTTTCAGGTCATTGAATAATGACAAAGTTGCTATAACTCTCTATATTATTTATATCACTATTATAACTTGAAGTTAGAGTAAACAAAAAAATGTTTTGTGTTAATAAAGGTACTATTAATAACTCTTGCCTAATCTAACAATTATCTCCTCTAACTCTAAATGACGTAAGCAGATAGAGATCAAACAAAAAAAAAACATTTATCCATTAATAATATACATGTTTGTTGAGTCATGTTTGAAATAAAAAACGTAATTAAATTTGACAGTATTAAAAAGAAAACAGTGTTCATAATAATTAACAGATATAAAGAAGAGATTGTAAAATTAAAATTTACATAAAAAGTGCTGATGTATTGAAGAGAATTTGTCATTATACTTTACAAAAAATAATTGATGGAATTTGCAGTATCAGAAACGACAGACAATAAAATTAGTTTTAAATTAATGTACCTGTCCAATAATCTACCTAACCTGACCTAACCTAACTATTTAATATATCTGATAATTAAATTATTAAAATAAAAATTAAAAAATATTTTATTCATTTTTAAAAGATTACTTTTTATTTGAAATTGGATTGTTTCAATTCATGTCCAAAGCAAACATAGAGTTCCAAAATTGTATTTTAAGATTTTGAGTTATTATGAAGTCACCACGAAGATGGTGCTGTTAAAAATTTGTGAGTTTGATTATTGATAGACGAAGGTAAACGTAAATTATAATTCATTCGCTGCTATCAACGAGTATCTCGAATTTACATTCAATACAACTTGCTTTCCCCTCTTTCCTGAACTCTTTATTTGATTTAAGTTCAAAAAAACTGAACAAATATTTTATCGTAAAGAAATATAAAATTCTATAGCACACCTTGAAACTATTGAATAAATGTGAAGAAAGTTATAAGAAAATTATTTCTCCTGTTAAATAGAATAACATAATTGATAACATTTACTTGGATATTAAAAAACTAAAATCATGATGACTAACTCATATTTCTTCATCTCACCTCAAAAACGATATTTTACTTTATTTCCAAATCCGATATTAATGTTACCCGTTACAATAAATTATGCCGAGCAGCTTTTGCTACCTTCCCATTAAGTATAACCTTCACTTTCTTCAAATAAGAGAGGAAAGAGCGGCATCTAGAAAGTGGACTAAATACCCGCTATGTTTTTGGTAATCGAAAGTGAAAATATTTGAGAGCAAGACGTCATTTTACATTCATAATAAAGTAATTAACATAGTCATGGTGTTTAAAATACAATTTATAATGTAATAAATATTAATTCCGCATGTTACTTTGACGTTAACGATGCCATTATAATGTAATAG